ATCAACTTATCAGTGGTGGTGTTCAACCCGAATCCGCACCTATCAATCAACCAGAGCCAGAACCATTTGTCATACCCCCAACTCAAACTACTGTTATTTCCTCTTTCCCTATTCCACCCGAAGAAACTGTCACCTATACCACTACAAATTTACCATACACCTACCCCCTTAATCCTTCATTTCTTCCTACTCACACACAAATTCCACCACCCCAAGTCACTTCGAATGTACTTCCTGAGCAATATACCTTTTATCCCACCGCTGCAGAGCCCTTACTACCAGACCCTACTGTCCAAGCCAAACCAGAAATAGGAGAATCTTATGCTCCTGTTGATATGAAGTTGCTTAAGTGCCTGGATCGTTTTGATGAATTTATGAGGAAAAGTCAGGGGTTAAATAAGCAAGGAGTGCTGGATTATGATGAGCTTTGTTTGTTTCCAGACGTACAATTGCCTGTTCGATTCAAAACGCCGAAGTTTAACAAGTACGATGGGATAGGTAATCCCAAGACACACCTCCGACTATTCGCTAACAAGTTGGGAAGACCCATAGATGACGAGAATCTCCCTCTAAGACTGTTCCCAGAAAGTCTGGAAGGGGATGCACTCGACTGGTATTCCAATCTGAAACCCGAGGAGTGAAGACCTGACTCGACTTGTCCAATGCTTTTGTGAGGCAGTACGAGTATAACTGCGAGCTGGCTCCGACACGGACCATGTTGGAAGGAACAAAGAGAAAACCCTCTGAGAACCATAAGACTTATGCCAAGAGATGGAGGAAAATAGCTACAAAAGTCGAGCCATCAATGACTGAGGACGAAATCATACGCACTTTCATTAAGGCACATGATCCGCCGTACTTTGAAGAAATTTTCCGCATGACTGGATGTTCGTTTGCTGCTATTGTTAATAAGCTTGAAGAGTACGATGACTTCGTAAGAGTTGGAAAGATCGTTAATGTCTCTGCCCTCAAATCGCAGTTGAATGCTTTGCAAGGGCAAGGGAGTAGTGGGAAAATGCTGCAATTTAAAAAGAAAGAGGGGGAAGCTGCCTTCATCTGGGATCAAAACCCTACACCAAGACCCAAATTTCAACACAAACTAACATATTCACCACCTTATCCCTACTATTCAAACCCTCACCCTGTCTACAATACCAATATCTCATACCCCCGACCTCGCCCAAACTACGCCAACTCGCCTACGGCCCCTTTCCAAATATTTCAACCTAACTTTCAACAAATTCGTCCTCGACCTCCTTACCACCAAAGATTTTCCCCACCAAACAGACCTACCTACAACTATCCCCAACCTACTGAAACCTACAATCAAAATCGTGCCCGAACATTCACCAACCTAGGCAGGCCTTTGGATCAGTTATATGAGCAATTAAAGGCTGCCGATAAAATAGGCGTGATTCCCCCTCCAACTTATCCTTATGGTATGCCTGTTGGGTACAATCCACAGGCCACTTGTGCTTATCATTCAGGAGCATCTGGTCACTCCACTACCAATTGTCGACTCCTCAAATATAAGATTCATGACATGTTCGAAGCAGGGGAAATTGTGATTAGGAAAAGAGAAGAGTAAGGACCAAACGTAAGCAAGAATCCTTTGCCAGAACACATTGATACTGTTGGAGTTATTATGGATGATGAGGAATTTGGTGAGCTTGTCCGAAGCATGTCAAATGAAACCGAAGTGTTTGGGATAATGGATCAGCCTTTTGTGATAGAGGAAGTATCGTATGAGGAAGACAAAAAGCCATTCATTTTAGACCTAACCCCATCCGAAAGTGCGGCTTTAGAACCTGTGATAATTGAGTTCCCAGAACAAGTGCCAGTTTTCAGTTTATGGCAGGTACTATGGAATTACAGTGAGCCCATTTTGCAAATCGGGGGTAAACAAGTTTTGAAGGAAGAAGTGTCTACTATCACAAGGTCAGGAAAAATCGCAAGCTCATCCACTGCTGACGCCCCAGTCAAAATAAGCAGTCATGAGCCGACTACCAAACACGCAGTGACTGAAAAAGAGGCATGGGATTTTCTCAAGAGGCTTAAGAGAAGCGAATACAATGTGGTTGAACAGCTGAACAAAATGCCTGCCCAAATTTCCATCTTAGACTTGCTTTTCTCCTCCGACTTGCACAGGGATGCATTACTTGAAGTTTTGACTAAGGCTCGGATTCCCAAGGATATTTCGGTGGACAATTTCTCACACATAGTCGAAAATGTATTGACTACTAAACAAATCACTTTTTCTGATGAAGAGCTACCTGCGGAAGGAACTGGTCATAACAAAGCCTTATATGTAGCTGTGAGGTGCAATGGGAAAATATTGCCTAAAGTACCGATTGATAATGAGTCTGCCCTCAATATTTGTCCTTGGAGCACTTTGGTGAAGTTAGGGTTGCAAGATGTTAACTTAAAACCCTCAGAGACCGTAGTTCGAGGATTCGATGGGGCCCAAAGGGACTCCATAGGAGAAGTAAATTTGGTGGTCGAAATGGGGCCTGCTCAATTTCAGATAGCCTGCCAAGTTATGCACTTTCCCAATGTCTATAATGTTTTACTCGGGCAGCCATGGATTCATAGCTCTGGCGCTGTGCCCTCTTCCTTGCATCAAGTATTGAAATTTGTGGTGAACGATCAGCTAATAACCATTTTTGCCGAAGAAGATTGCATTGCAATTGCCGATTCCGAGCCTGAGGAGGATGGTAATCGAAATGCTTCAGTGTCTTCTTACCGTACAGCTGATATTGTCTCCGTGAGTTGGATAACAAGTGAAGATTCAAAAGACGAAATGGTTTTCCCAGCGGCCAGTGTTATGATGGCCAAGGAAATGATTCGCGGAGGATATGAATTTGATATGGGATTGGGACGCAATTTACAAGGCATTCTGAAGCCCGTGGAACTCATCGAAAAGAAGGACTTATTTGGTTTGGGATTCCGTCTGACTGCTAGAGACATAAAAAAGATGAAAGCACGCAAGAGGGTAGAAAAGGAAGGCAAGATAGGTGCTTTAGACACATTCCACCACTATGCTATACCTTTCCAAAACCGGCTGAAGTCATTACATCTGAGTTTAACCCAATTGACGAAGTGGAGACAAGCCTGACTCATTTGTTTGTGGGAGCAATATCCGAAGATTGTCCGTCAGATGATGCCGAATTCCCAGACATTCCCCAAGAAGCTATACACAACTGGACCACTGAGTACTTTCCCGTGCGAAAGGAGTTTCAGTAAATCTAAAGAGGGTTGTCATTTACCAAAGTTCATGAAAACTGTTTCTTGCATATGTAAATAGTTTAATCAAAGTCTCTTTAGCAATTAGACTTTTGTCTCGTTTCACTTTAATTTGAAGCTTTATGAAAATGCACAAGTAGTTTTATCACAATTGTTTGTTTGCTTGTTTATTTGCGTATTTTATTTGCTTATTGCCTTGAATTTCTTAATTCTTTCAGATGGCCAAAAATAAAATTATTTGACCCTATGGATATCACTGTTCTGGAATCCAATGATGACAATCTCTATATCACTCACGACTTGAAAATTATGCAATCTGAATTGCAAGATGAGAGTGATAATGAGGAGGTATATGATTTTTTCTCAAAAGATCTCGAACAATATGAGGAGAAATCTAAACCGAACCTAGAAGAAATAGAAATTGTCAATATTGGCACTGAGGCTGAGATTAAGAAGATGAAAATCAATATTCATTTGAACGAAAAGCAGAAAAAGGAGATGATCGAGTTTTTGTCTATATTTCAAGACGTATTTGCATGGTTTTATGATGATATGACTGGCATTTCTACCGATATAGTGGTGCACAGATTGCCTACAGACCCAACTTTTCCACCAGTGAAGCAAAGGCCTCGTAAATTCAAACCAGACATGAGTCTCAAAATAAAAGAGCAAATTGAAAAGTAGCTTAAGACCAATATTATCATTGTATCTCATTACCCTGTTTGGCTCTCGAATCCAGTCCCTGTTCCAAAGAAGAATGGAGAAGTACGAGTCTGTGTTGATTATAGGGATTTTAACAAAGCCAGTCCGAAAGATGACTTTCCTTTGCCAAATATCCACATCATTCTAGACAATACTGCTGGACACGAAATTGAGTCTTTTTGTGATTGTTTCGCTGGATATCATCAGATCTTAATGGCCAAAGAAGATAGGGAAAAAACTGTTATTATCACCCCTTGGGGCACATTTTATTATCGAGTAATGCCGTTTGGTTTAAAGAACGCCGGAGCTACTTATCAAAGGACTATGACTACTTTGTTTCACGATATGATCCACAAGGAGATGGAGGTTTATGTGGATGACATTATAATCAAGTCCAAGAAAGCAGAAGACTAGTTGATTGATCTAAAAAAGTTGTTTGAAAGGTTGCGAAAGTACAATTTGAACCTAAATCCTGCGAAATCCGCCTTCGGAGCACCAGCTGGTAAACTGTTGGGATTCATTGTCAGCAAAAAGGGCATAGAGATAGACCCGACAAAGATCAAGGCAATTCGAGACATGCCAGTGCCAAAAATGCAGAAAGATGTGAAAAGCTTCTTGGGGAAGATTAATTTCATTGGAAGATTCATTGCCCAATTAACCGCTACGTGCGAGCCACTATTCAAGTTGTTAAAAAAAATATGCCATTGCATTGGAATGAAGAGTGCCAACAAACTTTTGACAAAATTAAGGATTATTTACTGCACCCTCCAGTCCTAGTGCCACCCAAACCGGGCCGGCCTTTGATCATGTACTTATCCATACTCGGCGGAGCAGTAGGTTGTGTTCTGGGGCAACACGATGATTCTGGAAGGAAAGAGCAAGCCATCTACTATCTTAGCAAGAAATTCACCCAGTATGAGGCTAATTATTCATTCATTGAGAAAAGTTGCTGTGCATTGGCCTGGGCAGCTCAAAAGTTGAGACACTACCTGCTAAGTCACACCACATATTTCATATCCCGCTCTGATCCTCTGAAATACCTCTTGGAGAAGCCGATGCCAACTGGGCGTCTAGCCAAATGGCAGATGATTCTTGCGGAATTTGATATTGTTTTTACTTCGCAAAAGGCCGTCAAGGGACAAGCTATAGCTGATTATTTGGCAGAAAATCCGAACGATGATGACTATCAACCGCTCCATACTTATTTCCCCGATGAGAAGGTTTTACTTGTTGGTGCCGCAGAAGATATGAGCGAACCGTACCCTGAATGGAGGTTATTTTTTGATGGTGCCGCTAATTCTTTCGGAGCTGGAATCGGAGCAGTGCTTGTATCTCCAGAAGGGAAGCATTATCCCGGAGCTGCTAAATTGCAATTTGCCTGCACAAACAATATGGCTGAGTATGAAGCCTGTATTTTTTGTCTTAAAATGGCTTTGGAAATGGAAGTTAAAGAGTTGATAGCCTTCAGTGATTCAGATTTACTTGTGCACCAAACGTTGAAGCAATGGATAACCAAAGATTCCAAGATCTTGCCATACCATTGTAATTTGCTCACTCTAGCTAGACAATTTCAAAGTTTGGAATTCAGACATCTTCCACGAGCCCGAAATGTATTTGTCGATGCTTTGGCCACCTTATCTTCTATGATACAATATCCGGACGAACTAGGAATCAAGCCTATCCGGATCCAACTCCAGGACAAGCCTGCTCATTGTTGGGTCGTAGACAAAACATCTGGCAATAGCCCTTGGTACAATGATATTAAAGAGTTCATCAAAACCGGGTCTTACCCTCCAGAAGCTAGTGCAAATGACAAGGGTTTCTTGCGCAGAATGGCCTCGAAGTTTTTCTTAAATGGAGAGGTATTGTACAAAAGGACCTCAGATTTGAACCTCTTAAAGTGCATCGATGAAGATAAAACTCAATACATAATGAAAGAGGTACATAGCGGTGTTTGTGGACCTCACATGAATGGACATTTGTTAGCAAAGAAAATCATGAGAACCGGGTATTTTTGGCTTACCATGGAGCGCGATTGCATAGACTTTGTCCGGAAATGTATTAAATGTCAAGTGCATGGCGATGTTATACGTGCTCCTCCCACCGAGTTACATAGCATGATTGCTCCATGGCCCTGCTCAATGTGGGGTACGGACGTGATTGGCACAATTGACCCTCCTGCTTCAAATGGGCATCGATTTATATTGGTGGCAATTGAGTACTTCACCAAATGGGTCGAAGCGGAATCATTCAAACATGTGACAAAGAAAGTGGTGGCAAATTTCTCAAGAGATCACATCATATGCCGATTTGGAGTGCCAGAAACATTGATTACAGACAATGCCAAGCATCTCAACAATGACATGGTGGACAGGCTATGCGAGCAATTCAAAATCAGACATCGTAACTCTGCCATCTATAGACCGCAGATGAATGGAGCCGTGAAAGCCGCAAACAAGAATTTGAAGAAGATCATCCGTAAAATGACTGAAAGGCACCGTGATTGGCATGAAAAGCTTCCTTATGCACTAATGGCATACCGGACTGCTATTCGAACTTCAACTGGGGCAACTCCCTACTCGCTCATGTATGGAATAGAAGCTGTGCTACCTGCTGAGGTCGAAATCCCTTCATTGCGTATTCTAATGGAAACCAAGTTGGAAGAGGCTGATTGGTTAAAGCAACATTATGAACAATTGACCTTGATTGATGAAAAATGACTTAATGCTATTTGTCATGGCCAATGTTACCAAAAACGCATGGCCCGGGCCTACAACAAGAAAGTCCATCGGCGTACATTTGAGGAAGGCGACAAAGTACTTAAACAAATTTTGCCAGTGCAAGATGAGGCCAAAGGCAAATTTGCTTCAAATTGGCAAGGGCCATTCATTGTTCAAAAGGTGTTACCTGGCGGAGCACTCATTTTGGCAGAGATGGATGGACAGACATTCCCTCAACCTATCAACTCAGACATATGTAAGAAGTTCTTTATTTGATTATGCAAATTTCTTTTAGGAAGTCATGCAAGGGACGAGACAAAAGTCAGGCCATATTCCTTTCCAATCAAAATATTTCATCCCTAGTCATCCCCTTTGAGCTGTCAGAGCAATAATCTTCATTTGGCAACCCCTAAGAATTGCAAACCCTACACTGGGGCAAATTTATTTTGAAAGAGAGATTGAAAATGAAAAGAAGAGGGAACCCCACACTGGGGCAAATTTAGTTTTTGAAGGAAAATGCAAAAGTGAGGAAAATGCAATGAAAAATGCAAAGAGAGAAAAATCCCAATCAAACTGGGGCAAATTTTCCTCAGTGACGTTCAAAATTGGAGATGATTTCAAAATGATGCAATTTCAAATTATTTCACAAAAAAAAAAATTCTTGCTTTCAAGCCTCAACTTTCTTGAAAACACCCCACCTGACCTCATTACAAAAGCCCAAAAGTCTTGACTTTCGTCACTCGTTGTATTTCTATTAGGGATTTCGCCAATCAACTGGCAAGTGATGTCCGTAATGCCTTCACTTAAGTTTATAAGGGAAGCGCATTTTACTGATGCCAGAAATCTTCAACTTGCGCTCCTGAGTCGATCATGGTCGAGCTTTTCCATTGTTCCTTAGGTGAAAATCCGAAAGGGCATCTCAAAAAAAAAAAGAGAAGAAAGAGAGAAGGAAAAAGAGAAAAAAGAAGAAAAACAAACAAAAAGAAAAGAAAAAGAGAGAAAAAAGAAGGAAAAAACAAGGGTGGGGGCAACCTTGGTGAAAACCCGAAAGGGCGCCAAGGGAGGGTTTTGCAATGAGGGAGCACGAGGAGAAACAACTGGTGACTTGGTTCATTTGGATTTCTTCTCATTTTTGTAATACTTCCGCCAATATTGATTTCAAGAACAAAGATATCCAGAGATTTGAATAGGACATCTGTTGGTCGAAAGTTGTGTCATTTTGTAAAAAAATATTCTTTTGCAAATACATTCTTGGGAAGCTCTTTTTCCAAATTGCTTGCATTCATGGCATTTTGTAGGTTTTTAAGCACAGATGGTCATGTTTTTATTCTTCTGCATATTCATTCCTGCATGACATGTGAATTATCTTGCATACCTTATTTTATTCTTTGAATCATTGAATTTTGGTGAATAACAATCCCCGTGATTTATTTCAAAAGCATGCTTGGATTCAGCCATCTTTTGGGAAACGGTTGGAATTCAGCAATGCCAACTACGCAGACTTCACAGTATGGCAAAACACGTACCTGGCCAGTTTGAGAAATCGGAAAAGTTTTGGAATGAGAAATCCAACTCAATCGGCTGCCGCAGCAAAAGTTAGCGAAGAAGGAAGAAAAGGCATTAAAAAACTCATGATTACACGATTCTCAAAGGAAAATGGATCAAATGATGGCGGCAATTTCTTTGTTTTTCTCTTTTGCAGGAAAGTTTCATGCATGAATGAAAATGATCAACACTTCGCACTAGAGTCGGTATCGGAAAGAGTTCTCTAGTGAACAAAGGCAGATCTAAAATGCTGCCAGCAAATTTGGTCAAAAGATACAACAACATGGCAATGCAGACTCAACCCTCGGACTCAGAGGCAAGAACTTAACCTCTACTGAAAAATTTTGGGCTATTTTCAGGTAGGTATTGGAATGTCTCGTTTAAATTTTCTGTTCGGGTCAGTCCCGATTTTAAATTTTCTGTTCGGGTCAGTCCCGTTTAAATTTTCTGTTCGGGTGAGTCCCGATTTTAGATTTCCTGTTCGGGTCAGTCCCGTTTAAATTTCCTGTTTCGGATCAGTCCTGATTTTAAATTTTCTGTTCGGGTCAGTTCCGATTTTAAATTTCCTGTTTCGGGTCAGTCCTGATTTTAAATTTTCTGTTCGGGTCAGTCCCGATTTTAAATTTTCTGATTCGGGTCAGTCCCGTTTAAATTTCCTGTTTCAGGTCAGTCCCGATTTTAAATTTCTTATTTGGGTCAGTCCCATTTTAAAATTTTGTAAAAAGGGTCAGTCCCCATTTCTAAAGTGTCCATCGTTCGAGACGTTCGTAGCCGAATAACGCAGGTGAGTATTTGGTGTCTATTTCTTTATCTCAAGTTTTCCCAAAACTCAGACAAAGAGGGGCAAACTGTAGACACCAAATTTTTAGGGTATTTTTGTTTACTATTATTTTTATTATTATTTTTATTAGTTTTATTTACTTCTAGTCTTTTATTTTTATTTTTAAGTCATTTTATCATAGAATTTATCAAAAAAAGAAAAATCATTCACAAAAAATATGCTTTATTTCTTTTAGTTTACTATTATTTGCTCAAAAAAAAAGAAAAAAGAAAAAAGAAAAATCTTAACTTTGTTGTCTTTTATTCCTCGTTTTGTTCATTTTATCCGATTTTATTTAAATTGTTGTTTTTCTTTACTTAATATTATTTTCATTTTTATTAAATTATTATTTAAAAAAAAAAAGAGGAGCCGCACATGCAGCATGTAAGTATATCATTTTCATGGGAGATTTTTTTTTCTAGTTCTTTCTTTGGCTCCCAATGGATCGGGATGGCTGGAGTTTTTGGGTAGAAACCAACCCTTCATCCTCACCTTTGAGGTGAGGGTTTAGGGGTTATAGGATCCTATAAAATGAATAGCCGCAGCCAAGGAGAAAAGGAGAGGAGGGTGACGGAAGAAAGAAAAACCAGGAAAGGAGAAAAAAGGGGAATGACGGCTGGTTGAGTAAGAAAAAACAAGAGATCAAGAGAGAGTTTTGGGAGGGCCGAGAGAAAGAAAAAAGGGAAACAGAGGGAAAGGCAAGCGAGATAGAGAGCTGGAGTAGAACAAAGACTGGACAAAAGAGAGGTAGAAACAAGAGAAAAGGCGAAAGCTTGGGGAGCAAAGAGGGAGGAAGGATCTGGAAAAAGGGAGAGAGAGGTGGAGAGAGACGGAACTGAGCAAAAGAAAGTGACTGAGGAAGAAGAAACCCACGGCCCTCATCAGTTTTCCATCATCGTGGAGAGGCAAAGTTGTTTGCGAAAGATTGTTCCAATCTAATCCCTTTTTCTGGCTGTTCAGATATATTACTCTCTCTCCATCTGTTACCGTTGTATCCTTTCCATGCTTGTATTCGGAACTCTGGATTTCGTTGGAAGGCAATGGGAGGAATATTGTTGATTATGATTTTTAGCCTAAAGCTGCTATCTTTGGTTGCTACGCTGCATGATTAGTATGTTAGGATTTGTAGTGAGTTTGATTTTTGATTCCTAGGTTATAGTTTAGTATCAAGATGTTAGCTTCTGACAAACACATCTAGGGTTCTTTAGAAAGCTGATTTCGTTTCTCTGTTGTTGCATGTTCCCCCATTTGGTTCTTTGTTTGATCTGTAATGACTAATTTCCAATAGTGGGGTTGTGTTAGTATTGAGGTTTAATGAATTTTGGGTAATAAATTTGCTGGTTTGCGTTTGAAACTGCGAGAAATGTCTGAATAAGTTGCTGCAGAAGGAACCAACGAAGAAGAGTGGTATGATCTGTTCATTTTGACTCTTTGTCGGGCGATTAAAATTCTTGCTTGATTTAGTTTTGTCTGTTGGATTGATTTGCTATATGATGGCAACGCCGTGTATGCTCTGCTGCAATTTAAGCCGCAAGATGCGATGTAGCGTCAGGCTACAAGGCAGCAGGTCTGTTACGGCAATAGAGTTTTACCTCAATGGAATGACTTGATCGTGTGCATAGATTACTTGGCCGCAAGTTTCACTTTTCTTTTTGCTGCATTTTCTGCTCGGCTGTTTCAATCAGATTTCATGGGGTTGCAAAAGCTCCCGAATGAAAATTGCAGCAGAGCAAAGGCTGTCGCACTTACTTTGCTGTTTTCCTTTTCCGTGACCATTCACCAGGCTTTAGCCTCTTCTAGTTCGTTAGTTAGTCTTGTGTGGAAGGGGGCAGGGGAAGATTGGTTTGAGTTTGCATGTTCGAGTCCTCAAAACACTTGAATCATGTTCGAATACTTTGCTGGAAAATGAACAACCAAATTGCCGAACCATTCTTGTATATTTTTCCAGAATTTTTACATGATCTCTTTCTAAGTTTTCTGCTTGTTTCGATGGTGGTGATTATGTAGTTTGCTTAGCCTAAAGTTGAAGGGTTGGTTTGGAAAAAATATCTAATCAAAGTTGTAATTAAGAAATCTGCATTTGGAGACGAAAAGTGCGGCAAGTTTTTTTTGTTGCAGCCACTTCATCCATAGTCTTGCATGAAGTATTTTCAATGTTTGCATGATTTCTTCCTATGTCTTTGCTTGTTTGGGTGTCAAATTTATATCTTGTTGTTTAGTTTAAAGTTTTGGATGTTAGATCAAGAAAACTTTGGTTAAGGTATGTGATTGAATCTGAATCTGGTGTTGGAAAGTGAAACAAAGAATGCAGCAGTCTTGTTTGTCTTATTGCAGAAAGCCTTCTACGTGATTGCATGGATTTTGCATGCAAAACAACTTCTGAAAATTTCACTTTACTCCTCTTGGCTTCTAGCAATGCTAGAAAAGCCCAATTATGTTCCGATTTCTTGCAATTAGGTCCTAGAGTAATTGCGTTTTGAACCATTACTTGACCTTATTATTACTCTTGGATCTTTGAAGTTCTCAAAATATTTTAATTGAACTTGAGTGATGGGTTAATGTTTGCAATTGGGTCTTTGGTAGTTTTTTCTATTTTTGAAATATGATCAATAATTTGCTTTTTCTTGGAAATTAT